AGGGAAAGGGAAAAAGAGAAAGAAAGAGAGAGAGAGCGAACCAGCGAGCGAGAACCTCGAGTTCCCGACTGTACAAATAAACTTTAAGGAACTTGTGCACAAAACTTACCTTGACTTGCAAGGAGCCATTTTTCATACAGTACTGAGAACTTGTGGTTTGGATACTTCTGTACCTAAAACTGACAATTTGAATGGCCAGGAGGCACACGTAGCCTGCAAAAGAGTCAAATGAAGTCCAGCGTCAGTGAGATTATATGTTATGTGGTATATAATGTTGGATGTCAACTCCCCAAAACCATAAAACTTACTTTAATGGCACCACGTGACTTTTTATAGCCAGTGAGCCTATCTGTCTGTGCTATGGATGATTTTACGATCTAATTCATAGACAAAACCCTATTCATTTGGCACCCAAATGTCATATAGCCGGAACTGGGGCTTATAAAGTTTACTGTTTTATAACTTTTAAGGGAAGGCATCAATGTAACCAGTCAGTAAATGTGCAAATCTTTAGTTGCTCTTAGAAGCTCAGAAGAGTTAACCATTCAAGCACTGATGGGGTAAGTAACATTGCGTTTATAGAAAACTAATTGTAGCGAAGAAAGCCAAAAATCTGTAAAGGGTGAAAAGTGGGAATGTGGCTATCGAGTGTTACTAATAGACGCAGAGGGCTCTGATGTGGCTGTCCTGCAAATATACTTAATGAAACCACAGGAGAAATTCTAGAGCGATTCAAACACATCTTGGAGTTAGCAGTGTGTTTTAACAAAGCACTTTTTTTTTTTTTTAACCATCAGCAAATAGCAAATAGTTGATTCACCCACAAAGGGTGTTGATTGTGGTCATGCAATGCAGCTTTCCACCTAACGAGAAACCATTAAAGAGGAACTTAAGGAGAAACTTTCAATTAAAAATACTGGTAGCGGACAATTGCAGCTCTATCACAGGCAACGTGCAGCGTGAGCCAGGTAAAATATTACTACAAACTCTGCACAGAATAATATTTTTAAAAGGCAAATCAGGAAGCACAATTCCTTGCTTTGCACAAACCAGATCACGAAAAATTTACAATAGAAAGTTTATTTTTTTGTTGATTTCCAGTCAGTTTTTTTTAAAAACAAATACAAAAAAAAAAAGCTGATCACAGTTTGCTCAAACAGCCAGACTTTGACTATATTTGTAACTTTGTTCACAAAAAACATACATCACAGAAGCTGCGCTTAATAAGAGCCACTTCTAAGAGTTCGTGCAAAGAGTCATATACAAAGGCACAGCAAGGACATACTGCTTGGAATCACAGTTTTCGTCACAGATTCACTATTCACTACACGTAGGACAAGTTCAGTTGATTTCATCATTTCACCTCTACAACAGCATTAATTACACAGGAATTATATAGGTAGTTTGAATAAAAATATTTTTAACAGCTTGGAGCTATACAGACATTAACACTTGACCACACATGCACAGTTAAGCAGGTTGAGTGCAACACAACATTTGTACTAAACCGGGGAGGGTTTCTTTCTCTCTCTCTCTCTTTTTTTCTCTCTTTTTTTGTTCTTTTTTGTTTTGCTTTTTAACAGTTACTTCAAGTAACACAGCTCGCTTCATATAAATAAGTTAAAACATCTATTATTTTTTCAAGACAAAGCCATTCAAGACAAAGAAATGTACGATAAAAGCAGATCTACTTATACACGCGAGAGAATGGTAATAAACAGGCTCATGATTAAAAGATGAATAAGGGCGACAAGAACAGGGTTTCTTCACAGAAGTAACACAAGGAAGTTTTAGAAAGTCAACTTAGTACTGACATGAGACGCAGGGTCAGCTAATACTGCTCAGTACTTTTAATTGATCAAATGCTTAGGGACGGAATGCCCCTCCTGCAGCTGCCATGCTCATACTTTTCAGCTTATTATCCTTTTTCCATTTCATTCTCCTGTTTTGGAACCAGATCTTTATTTGTCTCTCTGAGAGGCAAAGAGCATGTGCTATTTCAATCCTTCTTCTGCGGGTCAGGTATCTATTGAAGTGAAATTCCTTTTCCAGCTCCAAGGTCTGATATCGGGTGTAAGCAGTCCGAGCCCTTTTCCCTTCTGGTCCCCCTATGTTGTCTGGAAGAGAAAAGTACATGATTTAGATTCTCAGCAGCAACTTGGAGCCCTCAGGTCTTATTGCAGCTACGAGCAACCAGGACCGTTATTCTCAGTCCAGCTTGGGTTTTGTGCTCGTTTGGGTAAATGCTCAACAAGTTTCCCCCCTCCAGCCCCTTTTAGCAAAGGATTGGGGGAGGGGGGTTTAGTGGTCGTGGTAAGTTTTCGCTTGGATCTTGATTTCGATTTTTTTTTTTTTTTTTTGAGAATAATCTCCACATGCCTCCCCTAGCGAAGCTGGTTTGGGGATGCCTCTGCTGCTAGAGATGGGTTTCCAGGGCTGGGAGAGCAAAGCAGAGGCGGGCAGCCCTTTCCCACGGCTGAGCTGGAGAAGGCTGTGGGAGGCAGCGAGCCCCCGGCTGCTCCCCCGGCGGCGGGGGCGCGGCGCCAGGTCGGAAAGTTGCTCGGCTCCCCCGCGCCCCTCACCCGGAGTTTGGGGCTGCTGCTCCCCTCCCCCAGGGCTTCCCAGCAAGGAAAACTGCCCTCTTCGCCCTCTCCTATTCTCTTTTTAAGTATGGCTCGGAAAAATAAATGGGGTCAGCAGCGCTGTTCCCACTGGAGGATCCCCCTTAAAAAGGAGACCCAGGAGCAGCCTCTGCTCACGATCCCCCTCGCTAAGGCGGTTGCTGCTCTCCCGGTCCCTGCACGAGCCAGGGCTGGCAACGGGAGCGAGGCAGGCTGTATTTTTGGGGCTGGGCATTTTTATTTGGGGGAGGGGGACACTTGCCCAGACAACGGACCTGGCTTCCCTGCGAGCAGAGTTGTGTGCGGAGGCTGCACGCTCTCACGCCCTCCTCTCCCCCTCTCCCCGACCTCGCTTAGCGCAGACACCCGGTTTACATTAAATCCTCCTTTTCCTCCAGAGAAATAAAGAAAGAACAGGGTATTTGCTTTACCATGACTTATGTGCAGTTTTCGCATCCAAGGGTAGATCTGGGGCTGTGAAGGCTGGGCTGTGCTTTGGTCGGTCGGGGCACTTGCCTGCTCGCTGCTTGCTGGAGTGTCTTCCTCAGTCCCAGACGAGGTGCCAACCCCGTCTCTGCTTATGTGCGTGTTGCTGCTGGAATTGGACGAAGTGCTGGTGGAGTTGGCGAGGGAGTTTTTCACCCCGTGGTGACTCTCGCTGACAGGCGAACCGGCCACGGCGGTGCAGGGCAGAGGGTCAGGTGGCGGCGAGTGGGAAGACGTCGCGGGCTGGTTGTACCTGGGCTCTGTCGAGGCAGAGGTGGTGTTGGCCGGGTAACTGCGGGATCTCTCATTGGCACCAAAGTGGGTGGAAGCAGAGCGCCCGACGCTGAGGTCCATGCCATTGTAGCCGTATCCGTACCTGCCGGAATGCATGCTGCCGGAGTCCCTGTATTGCTCGCTCACCGAGCTGTGATCTCCATAATTATGTAACTGGTAGTCCGGGCCATTTGGATAGCGACCGCAAAATGAGTTTACAAAATAAGAGCTCATTTGTTTTTTGATATGTGTGCTTGATTTGTGGCTCTTGGTCGTTTTGTGCGTCTATAGCACCCTTGCACAATTTATGATGAATTATGGAAATGACTGGGACATGTACTTGGTTCCCTCCTACGTAGGCACCCAAATATGGGGTACGGCTTCAAATCACGTGCTTTTGTTGTCCAGTCGTAAATCCTGCCTGATGACCTCTAGAGGTAAACTCGTGCACTGGTGGGGGAGCTGGGAGGGCGCGGGCGGCCCGGGGCGCGCCGCCGCGGCGCGCC